AGCCTCTAACTGAATTCCACGGGAATCACAGTGAGACCCCCCCCAGAGGAAATGGTGGGCATTAAAATCACCAAGTAACAGAATCGGTGGCGGTAATGACGAAACAAGGAAGGCAAAATCCGAATAGATAATGCCCGAGAAGGAGAGAGATATAAGAACAGAGCGTATACCACCTATGTAAGTGGATACGGGCTGCTGTGTAATGCAGCGAAGTATGAACAAATAGCTGATGGTACGGAATATCAGTGCGGAGAAGAAGGGCACTTTCATTAAAGGTCCCATCAGGAAAAGGATCTGAAGAATACAATAAATTATAGCCTGAGATGTGAGAAATAAACAGCAGAGTGTAATTTTGGTTCCTGTAAGCAAACACCAACAGGGGCAAACTGGGAGAGTAACATCTGAAGCTCACCCCGATTACCCCTGAGGCCGCGTATATTCCACTGTAAATAGGCCATGATTGGCAATGATAAAGATACTTGAAATCCGCAGGTAAGGGTTCCTACGGACTAGAAGGGTTAGAAAAGTCCACATGCGGAGGCAGTGGAAAACGTTCAAGCAACGAAGGAACGGTGCGCTGTGAAGAAAGGAGTTGCGCAGATGGAGCAGAGGAGAGAGAAAGAGCGGAAGGTGGATCAGTGTCCATTGATGGTTTGGTCTCTGCAATACATTCAGAGATTGCTTCAAGTGTTTCGGAATTCAGAGATGTCGTATGGGAGACAATATTGGGAATGGTAGGGGGAGGATGAGTAAAGATTGGAACTGTATTGGACTGTACCAAGGTAGGGGGGGGGGGCGAAAGGGTGGAGGGAGAAACTGGAGAAGCGTGGCAGGGGACAGAAGAGGCAGGAACCTGGGAGGTGGCAGAAGAGGAAGAAACTTGGGAGGGAACAGGGGAGGAAGGTACATTATGAGGAGGAGGGTGAACCTCTGCACTTGTAACTGAGCCAGTGAGAGGGGAAGAACCAGGGACAGAGACAGGGAGGGTAAAATTGAGGAGGTGGAAGATGGGTAGGAGGTGTTAACGGACCTTTTTTTGACTTTTGAGAAGTAGAGGGACGATTGGGAGGAGGTGTCGTACGAGGTCTCGTCGATACTTAGGCTTGTGAGAGAGAACTCGAAGAAGCGAGATTAGACTGAGGCGTTGAAGTAGGGACGTCTGAGCTGAGGACAGCAAAAGGATTAGATACAGGAGTGATTATGGGAGAGGTAACCACAGAGGTGGGTGTAGAAGATGGGATACCAGAAGTGGGGGGACGTTTTGAAACACGGGAATAAGAAATGCGTGGGAGTCTCCCTTGGAGGCGGAGATGAGAAACTGCCATGGCATAAGGGAGACCTTCTGTCTCTTTGAGGTAACGGATTTCCCGCTCGTTTAAATAGACTGACAACGGCGAGAGTACGAAGGGTGAGCCTCATGACAGTTAAGGCAAGAGGGAGATCGATTGCAAGATGTACTAGAATGGTCATCGGCTCCACAGACTGGGCATTCGGCGATAGATCTGCAATATTTCGCTGGATGGCCAAATCGTCAGCAATTTCTACACTGTTGTGGTGTAGGGATCACCTTTCGAACTTGTAACCGATGTCCTGCTATATAAACTGAGGATGGGAGTTCTCGGCTGTCAAAAGTTAAACGAGCCACATTGCTAGGGTATCGTCTCCGCCCACGGGCAGGAAGAACGTAAGTGTCTACCTTGAGGATTGGGAGATCTTGGAGTTCCAGCTGTTCTAGAATGTCAGTGCCACATGTCTGGAAATTTTGTTGAACTATGGTATGGGGCAGAATGACGGTACCACTACAAGAATTGAGGGAATGATGTTTTTCAAGAGTGACAGGAACAGTATCGATATGGGAAAGACGAGAGAGCTCATGAGCCTGGGTAGCATTCTGTACTGTAATGATGCGCGTACCGCTCTTAAGAGCATGAAAAGAAATATCTTTACCAACATGGCGTAGGAGTGCCTTGCCAATACTATGGTCAGAAAGATAGGCAGTAGAGGAAGTTGGTCGTAAAGTGAAGAATTTAGTCCACTGTTCAGTCTGAAACTGAGCGTGGAAAGGTAGTGAAGGACGTGTCGATCGTTTCTGAGAAGAACGAGAAGGTGAAGGTGGAGAAGTATCATCAGCAGGTAATTGTCGTTGGCGTTTAGGCGTGGGACCAGAGTTGGTCCGACGTGGAACGGGTCGGCGATTTGAAAATTGCCGCACCATAGAGGGAGAGGCCGGAAGCATAGTCAGAGGAGAGCGAAGGTCCGATAAATCGAAGGAGTCAGTCGAGGCCTCAGTACCTGAAGCGGGTGAGGAAACAGCACCGGCAATAGGTACAGAGGCATGAGGAATGTCTGAAGAGTGGTCCAAAGACGAGGCGGGGTCAGAACGGGGTGCGGTATCAAGAAGGGGCCCGGGGTACCAGGTTCATGGACTAGGGCTGCCATGGTTAGGTTACTTCTTTCTTTTTGTTTTTAAGAAAAAAAAAGAAAGAAGAAAAGAAAATAAAAGAAAAAAAGAAAAAAAAAGGGGGGACCGGGGAGGGATAGTTCCTAGGGGGAATGAAAGGGCCAGAAATCTCCCTCCGCGCCCAAGAGGACCTCAGCACCGCAAGTAGCGCAGATGCAGCATGGAACCCGTGCCATACCCTACCCATCATGCTAGTAAACTAACAATCCGGGATAGCAACCTCACATCTGCCGAGCTACCTCGGTGGACAAAAGAGAGGGCGGCCGGATATCCGCCACAAAGCATACCTCCTTCGGCCACCACCCCTGGAATCCGAAAGGTGGCTTCCAGAGATACACTCGTCGCCCGAAAGACACCCAAAGCTACTCCGGGATACCGGAGAGGGATCGGGACATCCTCAGGCGATCCAGATTCCACAGCAAACTACGCCACCGCTAAGAACCTCAACGGAATGGGATGGACCCCGATATCCTTTCCCCTACCTAGGAACTAGCACGCCTGTGGGAGAAATCCCAAAGGACAAAAAGAGGAAGGGCAAAAGGGAAGGGTGGGGAGGAGGAGGAGGAGGAGGAGGAGGAAAAAAGGGAGGATGGGATAGGGGAGGGGAGATTGGGGGGTAATTAGGTTCGGTCTGAGGAAGAAGACCGATAGGTCTAATTCCTCAGACCAAGAGCCTCTTCACCATGCCAAGGAGCCCCCCTTGAAGAGGATGATGGGATCCATAGCAATTGTACATGAATTCCTTTTTCATGGATTTTTGAGTATATCTGGCTTCTCCAGTGAGCATGTTGGAGTCATTACACGAGTCAAGAGCCTTCATTGATGACAGAATCAGTAAAGATGATAGTCAAGCTCAGTGTCATAAGTTAACTTTGGTGCCATTAGTTGCAGTGTAGATGCCCAGTTTATTATTATGCCTAACATAATAAATTTATTGTTGCACCTCCCTTGTTAAGAACAATAAGAGCAGATGCAGCCCTGCCAGAAGACTCCTGTTTAGATTCATCAGTGTATATAACTTGTGATAACTTATTACTACTAGCTAGGTGAAAAATTTCTTCTTGAGCAGTTGCTTTAACAAGTGATTTAAGGAAAATACACCTCAAAGTTGCAGATTTAAACCAAAAATATTTTTCTTCATGCACTGCTTGCTGCAAGATTTCTTATGATGCACAGTTACTGCATAGACCCATTCTCTCGTATCTAGGCCCAGATTTACTGCTCACAGCTTATCTGAGTGAGCCGAGCTCATTGCATAGTACTACGGTATGGACTGACCTCAAACCCATAGTATTACAGCATGGACAGGGAAGGGGTTAAAAATGCCCCAAAATAAACACTAGACACTCCAGGCACTGAAACATTTCCTCTGTTCATTAATCCTGTTCATAGGCCTTTCCTTTATTACACTTCCATTTTCAATTCATCACAAAAAAGTAAAGAATTCCTCTATTGTATTTAGACTAAATGCTAAATACTCAGTACACACATACTTATGTACTCCCACATTATAACTTCAACAGTCACTTTGAACCTTTTATCCATTGTTGACAGGAATATAATTGAATCATTTTCACAAAGCATTTTTGAATATATGTATAGATCTTCTGTCTTGTACAAATTTTGGTTCACTTATTAATAATCTACTGTACAACTACGATATAATCCTTAGTGTTAAGTAGTCTGTAAGTCAATAATGTTAAGTTGGCCCATAATGCCTAGGCATAATAGAGGCTCTCTTTGCACTGCAACCCACTATTGTAAATACAAAATCTCAATGTACTGTTTGCAAAGACATTAAATAAATAAAGGAGGGGTGTTAATGTTGCAGTTTAAAAACTGTAGTGTAAAGCACCCTTCTGGCAAGACAGTGATGGAGTGAATGATGGTGAAAGTTTTTCTTTTTCGGGCCACCCTGCCCTGGTGGGAATCGGCCAGTGTGATAATAAAAAAAAATAACCAGGACTAATTGGCCATGGTTTCCAGTGTCCCAATAATTGAGATCTAATAAAATTCCATAAAACAGACTTGGGGGGGGGGGGGGGATGGATATGTAGAGAAACCTTACCTGTCCTTTGGAATATTGACAAAAATTGAATATTTTGAATGGTTTCTGGTCCAGAAACCATTCAAAATTCTCTTTTAGTAATCTTCCATTCTGTCAAATGATACCATAAAGACCATTTGAGAGAACACCTCAAAGGTGCTGTTTTACACCAAACACAAGCTCAGTTTTGTTTTTCCCATCAATCGCTGCATAGAGTAGGATTTTTTTGATACCGCACACTTCAGACCCATTCTCTCGTATCTAGGCCAAAATTTAAGACTCGGCTAATGTGAAGGAGCTATGCTCGAAACTTGCATGTGCGCGAGGGACCCCTGGCATCAATAACGTAGATCTGCAGGATAGCCACTGCGAGGGTTAATGTGTTTTAGGCATTATTACAGTTTGAGGGTGTAATAACTGGCTGTGCTGTAAGAAAGGGAATAGGAGGAGACTAAATAGTTGTTTTAAGTAATTTGGTATGGGTGTTGGCAGGTGAGCATCAACATCCAGTGGCAGTGGTCCCAGCCAGCAGGGGTGACTGTTACACGGGACCATGACACTGGAGAACTCCACCAGTCTTGCCTTGCGCCTTACAGGCACTTCCTCCTCTCCCTCATTTATGTCATCATACTCATTATTTCTGTTGCTGCACTAGCTATTAAGGTGAGGTTTGCTGCTTGCTTCAAACATCCTTTAAGTATGTGTAATTACTGTACATTTTTGTAGCTACAGGAGTAGAGCTAAGCTTGTGTTCAGTTATATATACTGTGCCTATATTTTGAAATAAATTGCTGTACTGTATTTAGTATTATTGGGTTATTCCAAGTTAATGTTTGCCATTGTATACATGCATAACAGTGTTTAATGCAATAATTTTGGAAAAATAAGGTATCATTTGCAGACCATCTTTGAATTAACTATTAAAGTGATCCACAGTATTCATTTGCTCATATGGTAGTATCACATATGGTAAATTCAAGCTCCATAGGTCATATTTTTAGACACCGTTTTACCATTACAATAGTGCCGTGGGATCCGTGAAAACTACCGTGAAGCAGCATACATAGGAGCAGCTCTGGGTTTGGTTCTGCCGCTCTGGTTGGCTTGGACTTTGGCTGGTCTCATCCTTCCTCCACCCCACCAGCCAGCATGCCTCGGTTTTGGCATTGTTGCCACTGCTACTGTCGTCTTCATAGTCATGTTCATACCAAAGGTCAGTGATGACTTATCAATAGTAACAGGGACTGCACTGAGAAGTCAGTAGTAAAGTTAGTGATTAGTGGTAACAGAAATTGGGGGTTGGTTGTTAACCCGTAAACGGTCCAAACGTGTATGTACGTTATCTACCATAGTGCCCCAAATTTTTTGAGAAAAGTGTTTTAAATAGGAAAAAAGAGCATATGGTACCCAGGCATCCCCAATTATTTTAATATGGCACACAATGAGTGCGCACACCCATTCTCTCATGTCTAGGCGGCTCGGGCTTATCGTGGCAATGTTAAATGTATGACACAAAATGTATATACAGTGGACCCCCGTTTAACGATATTTTTTCACTCCAGAAGTATGTTCAGGTGCCAGTACTGACCGAATTTGTTCCCATAAGAAATATTGTGAAGTAGATTAGTCCATTTCAGACCCCCAAACATACACGTACAAACGCACTTGCATAAATACACTTACATAATTGGTCGCATTCGGAGGTAATCGTTATGCGGGGGTCCACTGTATATGTATATATATGTTTGGGGCACTAGCGGTAAAAACGTATATATACGTTTGGACCTTTTACGGGTTAAAAGGATCGCTGATATACTGAAGGTCAGAGGTAGCAAGGTACGTATTAATCTTTGTTTTATTTTGTATTAAAATTGTGACTTTTTTAATTTTGAGTTAATCAAATTGTGCACAAATATGTTCTGTTTGTTTTAATAAGTGCTGCTTTTGTTAATCAAATATATATGTATTACAAAATAGGAATAAAAAATTGCATGAATGGTAAAATGCAACAAGGCTTTTAAATATGTATAACAGTTTGCTCGAGAGGCACTTTCTCATCCACAAAAACAAACAGGTTAGTGCAATTAATCTCACAGTTTGTAAGATCCAGGCATAAGTTATGCTAACATCTAACAATTTACTTTCCAGACACTTGGCTTTCATATGAGCCTCAATTAATTTAGATAGTGGGTATTCAATGTGTAATTACACAGATATGGGTTGTTACACTATTATCTCAACCAGCAGGGACGGCAACTAGCAGCAGTTGGGAAGGAAGGTGTGTTCCGTGAAGACCAGGATGATCAGCTATCTACCATCTCTGGTGGTGCACGTTACTCCCCTTCTTTCTTCCTTTTCAAGCCCATCAAGCCTCCTAAGGACCTGCTTGCACCAGCTACCTCACTTTACAAAACTAGAATACCAGGTATGTTGAGTGGTTTGTTTGGAAACAATTGGCTGGGGGTAAGCAAATGACACTTCATCTTTTTGACAAGCTGAAGTGTAAATACTAATAAATGTAAATTTTTATTGATTTATAGTCTTGCTGAAATAACGAATCTGAATAGTTCCATGAAATTCTTCTCGTCACTGCTGGAAACTGTATTAAAATTTGCAGTGGCTAGCCACTTTACTAAGCCTTTTACAAGTAATTTAGCATTATAAAACTCTAAATTTTCTTGCATGTGAATGCCTTTTAAGTTTGAATTTGATTGACATTTCAGTGATTGAAAAGCAAGCTCTGGGAATTCTTGTCTAACCCACATAATAAGAGCTAAAGCTTTTAGGAAGCTTAATGAATCAAAATTTATGTATCTGATCCTGGTTAAGTGTCATATTTCTAGTGTTTCTAGCAGTGATATGAAAGGGTTTAGTTGGGGGGGGGGGGACAGCCAGGAGTACACACTGCTTTTGCTGCCCAAATATCCTATAGGAATTTGTGATAAGTATTAGCAAGGAAAAACTTAAGCATCAGAATGCTTTTCACAGCATAAATTGAATTGAATCTCACTTAAATGCATTTTGCAACAATTTGCTTCTTATACTTTGTTTTCAACTTGTGCCTGGCAGTGGCATCTTTTACTCTGCAAGAGGACAGATAATATTGTAAATTGACTAAAGTGCAGCATCCTATACTGCACTTAATGAGTCAGGCTGAAAAACTTCTCACATTGCTAGAGAAGCTAGTAATTGCTGCACCTGGTAATTTATTGTATCAGCTTGACTCAAAAAAATTAAAAAAAGAGCTCAGTCTGTCTGGAGAGCTGCAAAAGAACACAGACACAATACAAGGAACAAGTATCTCTGACATTCCACTTGTATGTATCAACCTGTTCAAAAACTCCATGCAAATTAATGGCCCAAAAATTTTGAACCTTCTTCCTGAAAATGCCAAAAGTTCCCCATTGACAGCATCTTGCCTAATAATGTTAAAAGCCTATTAAATATCATGTAAATGCTATATCCATTAACTGTCTGTAAATTCCCATGCTTTGATTTCACCACTTCATTTCAATCACTCCATAAAATGCCAGTCACTAAACTGATATAAATTCTTTGTAATTTATCTGTAGTTGACGAGTTTACAACCTGTCTTGTAGTATTTGCAATTATAGTGAATTATACTTGGCTGTTTTAAATATAGGTCAGGATTTAAGTACAGTAATATGTAAGCCTTGTGATTAGTTTGTCCCAAATGCATTGCATAATTAGTGGCTTCTTCTATGCCTACATTTGTATCAAGTTATAGATCAAATTATATATGTACGTATACTGTAACCTCTTCGTAGTGCTCACAGGAAATAAAAAATTTAATTTAATTATTATTAACTTAGTGCTATTAGCTAATACACAGAAATACTGTATTAGGTATGAAGAATTTTAAGTTTTTTTTTGTATTCCTGGTATGTGGACCCAGTGTTTTTCATTTTATAGCTGTACAGTGGACCCCTGACTACAATGCCCTCAACCTACATTAAAACTGACTTATGATGCTTGTCAGCATAATAATTTGACCCCGACATATGTTGAAAAACTCGACTTGCATCATTCGTCCCGTACGCGTCCATGCGTCTCTGGCCTGAGCCTTGGCTGAGCTAGTGTGACATTTACAAGCCAGGGTAGACAGTTCCATGCATACATTCGATAAATTTTGTATTCGTGTTTTTAGTGCTTGTAACTGCTAAGTAAGCCACCATTGGTCCAAAGAAAGCTTCTAGGGCCAACCCTGTGGTAAAAAGGGTGAGAAATACTATCATACCACCATCAGCTGCTGCACCACGGTCAGCTGCTGCTGCACCACAGTCTGCTGCTGCTGCACCATGGTCTGCTGCTGCTGCTGCACCACGGCCAGCTGTACTACTCGAAGATGTGGAGACTGTTATTGGTGTGGCTTATTGAGAATATCGAGAAACAATTGACCCCAGAGGGTTAGCCACCCAGGATAACCCAAGAAAGTCAGTGTGTCATTGATGGACTGTCTTACTTATTTCCATTGGGGTCCTTAATATTGTCCCCCAGGATGCGACCCACACCAGTCACTAACACCCAGGTGAACGGGAAAAAATACCTGGAACTAGTGCTCATATTGGTGAATTTAACTCCAGCAAAGGTTGGTTTGAGAGATTTAAGAATCGTAGTGGCATACACAGTGTGATGAGGCCTGTTCTGGAAGAAAATGCCAAACAGGACCTACATTACTCAGGAGGAAAATGCACTCCCAGGACAGTGTCTCATCACTACATCTTCAATAAAGGTAAGTGCCATTTATTCATTTAGTACACTAGTACATGCAGAATATATATTGTGAATGTATCCTTATTTTTGTGTAGGAAAATGTATATTTCATGTGGTAAAAAACTTTTTTTCATACTTTCGGGTGTCTTGAACGGATTAACTTGATTTCCATTATTTCTTGTGGGGAAAATTAATTTGACTTACGATAATTTCGTCTTACGATGTGCTCTCAGGAACAGATTAATATCGCAAGTCGGGGGTCCACTGTATTTAGGTTTAAATTATATAAAACCTAGATATTTAGGAGTTAATGGAGAAATATGGTTTTCAATGGAGGTGCTGTTGGAATATGAGCAAGGTAACTTTTATGAAGGGACTTGGGGAAAAGCTAGTTAGCTGGACTTAGTCTGAAGGTGGAAAGGGCAATGCCTACACCCTGAAGCAGTGTGGGGAGATGTTGCAGTTGGAGGATAAGATTGTGATGTCAGCACACTTCTGGAAAGATGGCGATTGAAAGAATATGATGCCAAATGTGCTCTCTTCTGTGGGTCACCCTGCCTTTGTGGAAGACTGCTGTCAATTTAAAGAAAATTAGGTGTTTAGAAAATCGTATTAAAATGTTCAACTCTTGTACTTCACACAGTTACAGGCCATTTGAAACTGTTGACTCGTTTGAACTAGATTTGCACAGCAACTCATTTGTATGCTGCCACATACATTTCAGGTCGCTACAGATATGGGGCTCTTCTTCCTCTTCCCCACCCACAGCCTCCACCACCTGCACCCTACTATTGGCCTGCACTACACTATTATCACCACTACTCTCAAGGTATTTCTATGGTTTTCTTCACTATCTGCTGTGACTTCTGCTGACATGACTTATGCTGACATGATGCAGGAACTAGTACAGACTGAAGCACCAGTGATTTACTTACTACTGATGGTTTTGAAAACTCGTGTAACTTTGGACATCTCTTGGCCTGGTAACACTACTGATATTGAAACATTGTTGACAGAGGTACAGTACTTCCTGACAATAATGCAGCACTGTACAACCCTTATGGGTTTAGTGCTTAGTTATGATTATAATACTGACAATTGTGAAATACTGAAGTTCAGCAAAGGTTTACCCTGGTATTTAATTTTTTTTCATGTATTGGATAGTTGGAATTGTTCACTTATTCTGAAGTGGGATACTTTTAATCTTAATATAGTACAATTTTTTTTTTTTTTTTTTTTTTTTTTTTTTTTTTTTTTTTTTTTTTTTTTTTTTTTTTTTTTTTTTTTTTTTTACAACCCTCAACTTCTATTTAATGTATTGTAGAACTGTATAACTATTCATATATCAGGCTGATAATTTATTTAATAAACCATAATTTTAATTAGTTTGTTTGATCTTTAACAGCTTTTATAATTGTCCTAGTTAATAGTACTGCTAAATTAATACTAAATTTAGAGAACTGTAATTTTTATTTGATGTATTGTACTGTATACTGATGACTACAGAATACATTACTTAGCAGATTTTAGTTTACCATGGTTCTTATGTTTGTACTATACCAGATGTGGCATGGAGTTGCACATTTGCTTATTGAGTGCAGGTCATGAGATAAGATATCTATGTTTGCTGCTTCTGAGCCACATTGAATGAGAATGCAAATTACAGCTTGGCCACCCCTGTACTGTACTTTAAATTCATTAAGTGTATTCTTGTGGTTCAATTAGCATGTTCAAAGTTGTGACCCTTTTTGTGTGGAATTACATGTACTCGCCTATTTGTACTCGCCTATTTGTGGTTGCAGGGGTCGAGTCACAGCTCCTGGCCCTGCCTCTTCGCTGATTGCTACTAGGTCCTCTCTCTCCCTGCCCCATGAGCTCTATCATACCTCGCCTTAAAACTATGTATGGTTCCCACCTCCACTACGTCACTTTCTAGGCTATTCCATGGCCTGACTACTCTATGACTGAAGAAATACTTCCTAACATCCCTTTGATTCATCTGAGTCTTCAACTTCCAATTGTGACCTCTTGTGTCTGTGTCCCTTCTCTGAAACATCCCGTCTTTGTCCACCTTGTCTATTCCGCGCAGTATTTTATATGTCGTTATCATGTCTCCCCGACCCTCCTGTCCTCTAGTGTCGTCAGGCCGATTTCCCTCAACCTTTCTTCGTAGGACAATCCCCGTAGCTCTGGGACTAGTCTTGTTGCAAACCTTTGCACTTTCTCTAATTTCTTGACGTGCTTGACTAGGTGTGGATTCCAAACTGGTGCTGCATACTCCAGTATGGGCCTGACGTAAATGGTATACAGAGTCTTAAACGAAACCTTACTGAGGTATCGGAACGCTATCCGTAGGTTTGCCAGGCGCCCGTATGCTGCAGCAGTTATCTGATTGACGTGCACCTCAGGAGATATGCTCGGTGTTATGCTCACCCCCAGATCTTTTTCCTTGAGTGAGGTTTGCAGTCTTTGGCCATCTAAACTATATTGTGTCTGCGGTCTTCTTTGCCCTTCCCCAATCTTCATGACTTTGCATTTGGTAGGGTTAAATTCAAGGAGCCAGTTGCTGGACCAGGCTTGTAGCCTGTCCAGGTCTCTTTGTAGTCCTGCCTGATCCTCATCCGATTTGATTCTTCTCATTAACTTCGCATCATCTGCAAACAAGGACACTTCTGAGTCTATCCCTTCCGTTATGTCTGAAGGCATCTTTGCAGTTATCATTTTCTCTCCTGCTTGGTGTCTTAAGTTTGTGAGATCTGCCCCATGATATCTTGTTGGAAGAGTTTTTCATGTTATTGTTGGGATATCTTCACTCTAGGATGCTTCTGGTCTCTCTGCATTAACTTTATGTAGTGCCTTTTTGAAGGCGAGAACTCGTATGAGAACAAAGTAGGCCAGGTAGAGGGGACAGCCTGTTAGATGCAGTAACATCAGTTACTGCATCTCTCATAATGTGTCAGGGCTAAAATAAAAAAAAAAAAAAAAAAAAAAAAAAAAGCAATACCAATGTAAATAGTTGGTTTACACACCCTCTACCCTTCTCAAGTTGTCCTTGTTTCTCTGCAGTCTTACTTTCTGCCACTAAAACTTGACTTTATTTGGTGTACTGAATAGGCCAATTTCCATATATTTTTTTTTGCACGATCTTTTCTCCTTTTTCCTTATACATAGAGGCTACACATGCTTTCTGCCAATTCTGAGACACCTTTTCTTTCATGCTTAGATGTATTGAATAAACACATCAACCACTCCAAAACTATTCCACCTGCTTTCAGAAGAGCTAAATATGTACAGTTCATTATAATGATAAATGATTTCATTCATTATAAGTCAAAATTAGGGAAAATTCTCAGGTCTATACTCTGACAGCAATTTAATTTTAATCACTTGCTTGTAGCACATATCCAGAAAAATCAACATTACTTACTCTGTATTACTCTAGTCTATCCTTACTTCACCTATGGTATTTGTGCCCATGAATCTGTTACAGCAAATCATCTAAAACCAATAGTAACTTAGGTACTGTATGATCACTAAAGCAAGTGCTAGACATCACACTCTCCCATTCTTCAAAAGTTTAAATTTATTCAGTATATCAAGCATTTACTCGTTCTTCTGTGCACGGTATGTATTTTTTAACACACTGGCCATCCCCCACTGTGGCAGGGTGACCCCCCCACCAAAAAAAAAGGGGGGGGGGAAAGAATCTTTCCCCGTCGCTCACTATTACTGTCTTGATAGAAGTTTACCAGAACATCAGTTCATATGCCCCTTCAAACAACCGTCTGTCTTCACTCCTTTCTAACACTTACAAAATCTTTACCCTATCCCTTCAACCTTTCCAAGGGTGACCTCTACCCTGCCTTTCCTCCACTTGATTTATACACACAAGTCATCCTACCTTGCTCCTTTCTCTCTAATGTCCAAACCACCTCGACAGCCTCTCCTCAGCCCTTTGGATAATGCTTTTAGTAACCCTGTATTTTAGCCTAATCAACAAACTGCAAATTCTCTGCATAATATTTACACCACACATTGCCCTCGGACAGATCTCCACTGCCTCCAACCTCTTTCTCGTTGCAGGATTCACAACCAGTGCTTCACACCTATACAAGTGTTGGTACTGCTATACTCTTACACATTCCCCTTTATTGCCTCCATGGATAACATTCTTTGTCTCGTACAAGAGAGCTTGAAATGCTGGTCAAAGAATATTGCTATGCATGGCAACTTATTTCATAATCATTATATTAAACTTTACTCATGGATTCACTTGTAGAAAAATTAAATGAGCAGTCATTGCAATGAATCTATGTTGCAGGTATGAGCCGTACAGATGATGGTGTATACGCTAGTATAGACCCGCCTGCACCACACTTCACCCTCTCTGGAAACCCAAATTTCTATTTGTTCCGTTCCCATGCCCATACTGGTATGATGTACTGAAGTGTGAAAGTATCCGAAGGTACAGTATATAGTAATAATTTTTTTGACGCTATTGAACCTATACCAACAGCAAATATTTAAGTTAATGTTAATGATTCCTACCACAGCCAACTTTCTAAATGCTCCTTGGTTTCATTAGCATCAGCTCTTTCAGAAGTATACACAAGTCATAAGGCAATTAATATTCAAAAGGTAATAATCACAACATTTGCTGTGGTCCCCCACTAGGCTCAAATTTGAGGTTGCATAAATTGGCTGGATTAAAGGAAGTGACTAGACTGCAGGGTTATGAGAAAATCATGCAAGTACATATTTATACATAGAATGGGGTCCACATGGACAGCCTTAGCACTCAACATGTAAGGTCATAAAACACTCTTCAGAATATTTATATACAGTACAGTGTACATTAAACTTTTTTAATAAAAAAAAAAACTGTCTTCAGAAGATTGTTATTCTCATTAACAAAAAGGTTATTTATTGTGGCCGTTATAAGTATTCTGTGTAAGTACCAGTACCATACATAGTCACATAAACTGTTTGTCACTTTTGTATGATTTACCTGACCCCTGTTATCAGAAGTTTTAAAAGGTCTTGTGTATTCACAGGTCTGTAGGAGGTACAGTGGAACCTCAAATATCGAACTTTCTTCAGTCCAGAAGGCTGTTAGTGCCTTTACCGAATGAATTTATTCCCATCAGGAATAATGTAAATTAGATTAGTCCATTTCAGACCCTCAAAAATACACTTATAAAAGCACTTACAAAAATACATTTACATAATTGGTTGTGTTGGGAGCAGTTCGATTTCTGAGGTTCCACTGTACTACTATCGAGAATGGGGCAGTCTCTCTTTATTGGCAAGTGCCATATCTTGGCTTGATGTGCGTTCATATTACTGAGCATTCCTTCCACTCCTATCCATGGAGATCAGTCATCTTTACTGGAGCTTGAAATCCACTCCCACCATCAGAGTTTCTAGAAATCCATAAAATTGCCAGTTTGGGTGAAGGTTTCTGTAACCACTAGTATTTGGTAAGGGTTCCTCCCACCACAACCACCACCACCTGTGTTAGAGGTACATGTCAACACCAGTACTGATAAGGTAACTACCATCTATGTATTTGGTTGAAAATTCCTGACATAGCTGTTATGTTTCTTACTCCATCACAGTTAAAGGTCACTTCTGTTATTACTATGTCTAGAAGTCTCTACCATTACTAATACTAGAGGTTTCGTGCATTACCACCAAAAAAATTTCATTACATGTAGCAGTTAATGGGAAAAATTTACAAATGACTAAGAAGCAGTTTTTTTTTTTGTTCACTTCAGGAATTACAGTGAAGGTGTTTGTGCAGAAAAATAAGTAAACTTTTTAATTTATGATGGTATTTACTGTTTTTTTTTTCCCCCCTAAGTTAGGCTACACACTGACAGGCGCTAAATTTTAGATTGAATAATAAACCTTGATCTGTTGTGCCAGGTTATTGTTGAGTAACATTGGCTCTTAGGTATTTAATTGTTTATGATGCTTATTTTTATTGATAATAGTTGCCACTACGTGGTTGCTTTGTATAATAAAATAGGATTCTACTGCAGTAACCTGTGCTAACAGTTTAATATGCCAGTATTATAGTGCAGTTCAGAGGAAACAAACATGAGTATCTTATTTTGAATCTTTGGTTTGACCACTAAAACTTTGCATTATAGTATTTTTGTATGGTATGTTAAGTATCAAGTTAGTCTTGCCTTTTGTAGAAAAATTGTATTTAGGCTTTTGTGTGTGTACTGTATTTTCTAACAGGTTACAATTTGCCATGAAACTAGAGAACTGTTGGCGTGTTTAAACAGCAGCGTACTTTTCAGCATATGATGGACTTTGCACTAAAAATTGCTCTATAAATAATGCCAGTACTTTCATTTATTGGAGAAGTGTTGTAATTATTATATTTATTTTCCAACTGCTGATTCTCACGAAGACGGGTGTCTCAAAGAAAACATTAATCACCATTTATTCTCTGGGTGCCTCTCCAGAACAGAGTTCATGAGTGATATGTAGCATTTAATGTGCTGGAGCATGAACAAGGCAATATCTTTGAAGAGATTAAGGGAAACCAGCTAGCCAGATTTGAAAGTTTAGTGCTAGAACTCTGAAAGGTGAGAAGAGGTTAAGTTTAGTGGGTCGACACTGCTCCATGATGCCTGTGGTATTATGGAAAGTGAGTTAGAGAATAATAGTGAATGTTTTCTTCAAGTGGGGAAAGAATTTGCAAGATAAAACAATAAAAAACTTGCTGGTACTTCAGCTATACAGATGTTGCAAACAAAAAATAAAACCGACACTAGCAATATTTGAAATAGGATGCTCTCGATGAAAAATTGTGCACACAGAAAAGATTGTGTGCTCATATGTGGGCATAAAAGATATTCTACTTTGTTATATAGTACTGTGTAACAAACACCAGACCATTATATAAGGCTTGTGAAAACAGATGTGCTGTGCTCAAGGTCACTTGCTGTATATGGTGACTATTCTTATGTGCAACTGTACTACTGATAGTGCTGAAAGATGTTGCCATCACCAGTGATACTAAAGTCCCAATCATCATCAGTATTTCATTATGTTAAAACTATCACTAACAGTGCAAGGTGGGCCTGATGTCAAAAGTGTTGAATATTCTACAAGTGGCAGCAGTACTCTTCTACTGATAGTCAGTGGGCCTGCCTATAGTATTTATGGGTGATATGCTTAACATTGAATATTTTTGGAATAATAGGGCGTTGGTTGTGCTAGTGATGTTGCCTTATGTAATAACCATGTTATACTGAATGTTTGATACCATAGACACATTTACATGTTGGTTATTTCCTCGTAATGATGGCTGACATGGGTTTCTATTGTCATGTAATATAGTGTAAATTAAGAAATAAAACTAATACTTATAAAAGAGTTTCTTAAAAACCTTGTTTATACAAAATGACATATGAACAAATAGACCATGTGAAAGTAATGAATTTTTTTTTAGACTAAAAATTTTTTGAAAGCCAGTTACAATAGTCTTTAGAAAGATAAAGCAGTTCAGCAAAGTTCAACATGTTGAGATATGCTGGGTAATTGAGACGAAGGGTGAATTTTGATATGTTGAGTTCTTTAGTTATGTCTAGTTTCAGCAGGTCCTTTCACCTCACATTGCGAGGCCTTAAATTATAGCTTTAGAGGTGGGACCTTAGCATACCTACCTTCATACCTTAACCTAGCACAGAAATGAAGAGCTTGCACAGAGTCGCAGGAGTTTTAGAAATGTTATTTTCCTCTTCCCACATACTGAAATCTTTCAACACATTGACAGTATCCCACTGAGGTGGGGTGGCCCAAAAGGAAAAAAAGAGTTTCTGCTACATTTAATAATGTATACAGGAGAAGGGGTTACTAGCTCCTTGCTCCCGGCATTTTAGTTGCCTCGTACAACACATGGCTTATGGACGAATTCTGTTCCACTTTCCCATGGAGATACTGAAATGTTACATAAAAAAAAAAAAGGTTGCCTAGAAAGATTATGATAATGGAGAAAAATAACAAAGGACATATTAGGAAATCTTGAAGCAGTCATGAGTGCAAGGGTGTACATGAACACTAAAGTTTTCTTGACCTGACTGATTTAAGGTGGACAACACTGACCCCTCCCATTTATTCTTTAAAATCATATGAAAAAATGCATTGCCCATCATTGAACTGAAGCTCCAAGAGTGGATCTTTCCAGGTGAGGGGAGATGGAGTTAAGCTTCCAGACACTGCCAGTACATCTCAGCTGTGGCTTTCCTTGTTATAGGTAACTAACCAGTACAGACCATGGTGTTGACAGCTCTGTCCTGTTAACCATGTAAAGGTAGCTGTTAATGGAGGTCATTTAATGAATTAACTTAAGCATGTTTTTGTACAATGCACTGTTAGGTAGAAGTGACTTCTGTTTAAAGCTTCCCATATTCTAAATTAATATTCACTTGAGATCTCTTGTATAATACACACATGCAAATAGTTTATATGTGTACATAGGCATTGTACATAATATATAAATTGTTTAAGCATATCCATTTAAATTATTAGAAGAAATCTTGTAAAGCCAGTTGTAATACATAAATACAAGGTCAAGAAAACAAGATTCCTGAAATATAATCCTTTATTATTATTTTTTGTATAAAGACTTAGAGAACCCTGACTACACGTACATCATCAGGGACAATACCTGTAAGTCGTGTACCCTGATTAAATATAGGTGTTCAGGGACAGCGCTCTTAGCCAACTACTGTACACTGACTACGCCAGGGGCAGTGATAGCTAAAATATTACACCTACTACATTAGTACTTCTCTCCATTATATCCAAAAGTCACTTGATCACATTTTTTCTGTGCACTTTTTTTTTCACTAATAATTTTGGAAACTGAAGTTTACCAGTGTTCATATTTGATATTTTTTATTAATGGTAACCCATACATTTTGGTTAGTAACATTGCTCCCAGGAATGACACGTTGACGTCAGATAAATTATTGCAGTAAACTGCAAGTATTACATTACATTAGCTCTGAAGCTGGTAAACTGTGACAGGTGATCCATCAGTATTTTTGTGTTTGTGTAATATGCACTACTATTCACATTATGGGAAAACTAAATTTTGTATTGGCAAAAAATCATAGTAACTAACTTTTAGTTGGAAATATTTATACACACATTTTCCATTTTTGTATTATAGTCATCCTTAATTATTTTATTTTCCTTCATACCTTCATTTCCAAAGTTATGTTCATTCATGAGACCTAAATCTTAGTTAATTATTATTATTATAATCAAGGGGGAAGCGCTAAACCCGGAGGATTATACAGCGCTTAGGGGGGAATGTGGAAGGCATTCGGGCTTAATTCGGGGAACTGGAAAATCTTAGTTAAGCTTGGCATTAAAAAAATATAGCAGGGCCTATATACCCATAAATGATATATTCAGGGAACCAAAATACTTTGAATAAAGTGTTAAAGTAATTATCCTGCCTCAGTATTGCAATGGACGAGTGAATAGTCTTATTTTTATCTAATTTGTCTGATGTTTCTTCTGGCATACCGTAAATACTCTGAAAAAGGTCTGGTTTTGTGTGGCCACCATGCTAAAATTGCTACTTCTTGAATGCATAGAGAGCAAAACCACATTCCTTGCCCATCCTCCACCTTAATGGTCATCTCTTATTGTACATGTAACTGTAGTTTGCTGCACAATAAATCCTAATTACATGTCTAATTCTTTAGTCTTTAAGCATTAGGATTAGTTTGCCTGAAATGCATTGCACATTAGTGGCTTTCTTTTGTGCCTACCAACGTTTTATTACATGTGAACTACATTATTTTTGTACTGCATAAAAAGAAATAAAAATCTTTATTTAAATAAAAAGCAGGGTGCGCCTCACCCCACCCATAGAGTACATTCAACCATCATTCATTCAAGTGCTGTGCTTGTTTATATGTGGCTGCAGTGGGAAGAGTCCTAGTCCTAACCGCCTTGATTTGCCGCTAGCCAGATTCACTCCCTCTTAGCCTCGTGGACCTTATTATGGCTGCTCTTAAAACTATTTGTGGAACTTACCCCTATCCCTTCATTAATTAATTAATGTCAGTCCCTTCCCAACCACTTTGAGACTGAAAAAAATACTTCCTAACATCTCTGTGGCTCATTTCTTTTAATTTCCAGCTGTGTCCCTGAGTGCCTGTTTCTGGCCTCTCACATAGCCTCTCCTTGTCTTTCATGTCAATTCTCCACTGAATATTATGCATTTTATCCTCCAGTGTATCCAAGACTGCATCATAGTGGTCCAGTAGTTGTGGGAGGCAGGAATGACTTATGCTCAACCCATGTTGCCTTGAGTTGTGCATTTGTTAGGAAGAGTTCTAAGAAGCAATCATGCTTCTTAGAACTCTTTCAGAGATTTTTATAATGTGGGATGTTAGAGCTATCAGAGTATAATTCTTTGCTATCTGCTCTGCTGACATCTTTGAGTTTGGCATTTAGTGTGGGAGAAACTCCAGATCCTCAGAAAATTTGCCATCTGCTCTCTCTTCCTATGTTCTCAATGATACAATCTTTCATTTTTCATCTTCCCATCTACTTCTGGCCCCACATTCAGCCTCCTGGAATCCATGTATCATTATTATAATAAAAAAAAGTGCTAAACCTACAAGGGTCATACAGCACAGTAGGGCAGGGAAGGGTGCAGGGGTAGAGGGTAGCAAGAGATTGAGGTAGAAAGGGCTGTGAGGAGTGCTAGAGGCATAATCATCAAAGTTTGTGCAGTAAATCAGCTGCTGTTAAAATGTCAGTGTCTGGGTTAAAGGAGGGTCCATCAACAAGAAGGGAAGGTAAAGTAAGGGCAGCAGTGGCGACGACAACAGAGGTAAATTCTGCGTGCTCGTTGATAGTGGGCAGTCCAACAGAATATGGCTAACAATTCTCAGATTGGAACAAGGCGCCTTTCCATGAGATACCAGTGAGTAAGACAAGTGTGTCTGAAGCAAAGATGGGAGAGAGTAGTCTCCCAACCTCAACAATGATGACAAGAAGACAGCCAGAAACCTATACATGTACTTGGTTTAATAGAATGCAATTTATGTAGATCAGACCAACATTGTTGCCAAAGGAATAACAGGAAAAGTTGGTAGATGGATCTATAATTTCCTCACAAAGAGTAGTAGTAAACAGAGTAAAGTCCAAGGCAGCTACGGTGAAAAGCTGTTCCACGAGGCACAGTACTCGCTCCCATCTTGTTTCTCATCCTCATATCTGACATAGACAAGGATGTCAGCCACAGCACCGTGTCTTCCTTTGCAGATGACACCCGAATCTGCATGACAGTGTCTTCCATTGCAGACACTGCAAGGCTCCAGGCGGACATCAACCAAATCTTTCAGTGGGCTGCAGAAAACAATATGAAGTTCAACGATGAGAAATTTCAATTACTCAGATATGGTAAACACGAGGAAATTAAATCTTCATCAGAGTACAAAACAAATTCTGGCCACAAAATAAAGCGAAACGCCAATGTCAAAGACCTGGGAGTGATCATGTCGGAGGATCTCGCCTTCAAGGACCATAACATTGTATCAATCGCAGCTGCTAGAAAAATGACAGGATGGATAATGAGAACCTTCAAAACTAGGGATGCCAAGCCCATGATGACACTCTTCAGGCTGGAATATTGCTGTACACTAACAGCACCTTTCAAGGCAGGTGAAATTGCTGACCTAGAAAATGTACAACCTTCACGGCGCACATAACGGAGATAAAACGCCTCAATTACTGGGAGCGCTTGAAGTTCCTGAACCTGTATTCCCTGAAACGCAGGCAGGAGAGATACACGATTATATACACCTGGAAAATCCTAGAGGGACTAGTACCGAACTTGCACACGAAAATCACTCGCA